TTTTTTTCAATTTTTTTTTTCATTTTTTTTTCTAAAATCGCACGTGGAATTTCCCATATATGGGAAATTCCACGTGCGATTTTAGTAGACAGTGGGATTTTTTTACAATTAACTTTTTAAAAAGGTGAGACCACTCAGCGGCGCCACTTTCGAAAATTCAAAAATCAACACTGCCTTATTTTTTTGCTATTTTTAGCCGTTGAGAATGATTTTTTTGCTCCAAGGGTTTCCGAGATAAAAGAACCGCGCTAGCTTGGGGTCAACTCAGCGCGGTTTACACCAAAACATAATTTTTTCAAAAATTTAACTATACCATATTTTTTTGCTCTTTATTTGCTTTCAAATGCAAAATAAAATAAAATAAAATGATCCTACTTTGATAGCTCTTACATCCATTTTTACAGAAATATTTGAATTTTAAGTGAAGCGAGCATTTAACAGTAATCAGTACAAATGTACTGAAACTTTTTGACCCCAGTGTATTCTCTCTTCCTGTAAAGTTTAGATTTACTTGCTAGTCACAATATTGTTTAACAAGACATATTTGGTCCCCCTGTAAAATTTAGATTTTTTTGCTAGTCAAAATATTGTTTAACAAGACATATTCTATCTTTCAGTTTAGTTTAGATTTTTTTGCTCTTCAAAATATTGTTTAACAAGACATATTTGGTTCCCCTGTAAAATTTAGATTTTTTTGCTAGTCAAAATATTGTTTAACAAGGCATATTCTCTCTTCCTGTAATGTTTAGAATTTTTTGCTACTCAAAATATTGTTTAACAAGACATATTTGGTCCCCCTGTAAAATTTAGATTTTTTTGCTTCTCTCGGGACAGCAAACTTTGCACTCGTCGGAAAACAGCTTCTTTCTGTACTTGTTGCACAATATACTATTTTATATGCAAAAGATATCTTGGCTGGAATGCCGCAGTAACTAACCCTATACTTTATAAAATTTGTTTGTCGCCGTAGATAGTTTAATGTTATTTGCTTATTGTATTATACTTTGGAATGTTAATAATTATAGCAGTAAATAGTTGTGAATTCTTTTTTATAAAAAAAATATTTTACATTTGTTTAAAATATTTGCTTTTAAAATAATAATACTATAATAAAAGGAAATAAAAAAAATGCTAAGTACTTAAATTTGGTTATAGTATACTATTTAATTAAAAATATTATGCCTTATTTATAATTAAATAAATGCAACACTAAAAACTTTAACTAATTTTGGAATATTTTAAATTAAAATTTTTCAAAAATCTAAGTTAATTAAAATTTCTAATTAAATTCATTCAACAGAAATTTTTATATAATTTAAAAAAAAACAGTTTAAAGTTCATTTATTTATGAAAATTGTAAACGCAATTCTTTTAAAATTCAATTAATTTTAAAAAAATGTAAGTAAAGTTATTTATTAAATCATTTATTTATTTTATGACAGTTGTTCAAGATTTAAGTTATTTCAAAAGAAATTTTTGTCACAAATTAAAAAAATTAAGGGTTTTGTATTAAATTCATGGTAAATTTCTAGTTTATCAGTGACACAAAAAAGGCTAAAATTCAGAATTTTCTTATGAATTCTAAAAATATAATTTTTTCAGTATACTCTATGTTAGAAAATATAAATATTATAATTATAATAATATTCAAATTAAATATTCAAATTTATATTTTATTTTCATAAAAAAATTTGAAGCCCAAATTTCTACGTTCTATTATTTTTTTAACTGATAATTTTATTTAGAAAATTTGGGAGACGACAGCCGCGCGCGTAAGCGCGCTATTTGTTACTGCTGTATTAATAACAACAATTCGATAAGCAAAAAATTGTATACTGTACAAAGAGTCAATAATTTAATTTTTAAACAAAAATTTTAAGAGAAAAAAAATCCAAACTTCAAACGGAGATAGTTTTTGAATTTTAAAAGTAAAATCTAAAGAGCAAAAAAATCCAAACTTTACAGGGAGACAGTAATTGACTTTTAAAATAAAAATCTGAGGAGCAAAAAATTTCAAACTTTGTAGAGAGACAGTAATTTACTTTTAAAATCAAAATCTGAAGAGCAAAAAAATCCAAACTTTGCAGGGAGACAGTAATTGACTGTTAAAATCAAAATCTGAAGAGCAAAAAAATTCAAACTTTACAGGGAGACAGTAATTTACTTTTAAAATCAAAGTCTGAAGAGCAAAAAAATCCAAACTTTGCAGGGAGACAGTAATTGACTGTTAAAATCAAAATCTGAAAAGCAAAAAAATCTAAACTTTACAGGGAGACAGTAATTGACTTTTAAAATCAAATTCTGAAGAGCAAAAAAATCCAAACTTTGCAGGGAGACAGTAATTGACTGTTAAAATCAAAATCTGAAGAGCAAAAAAATTCAAACTTTACAGGGAGACAGTAATTGACTGTTAAAATCAAAATCTGAAGAGCAAAAAAATCTAAACTTTTTAGGGATACAGTAATTGACTTTTAAAATAAAAATCTGTGGAGCAAAAAATCTAAACTTTGCAGGGAGACAGTAATTGACTGTTAAAATCAAAATCTGAAGAGCAAAAAAATCCAAACTTTACAGGGAGACAGTAATTGACTGTTAAAATCAAAATCTGAAGAGCAAAAAAATCTAAACTTTGTAGGGATACAGTAATTGACTTTTAAAATAAAAATCTGTGGAGCAAAAAAATCTAAACTTTGCAGAGAGACAGTAATTGACTGTTAAAATCAAAATCTGAAGAGCAAAAAAATTCAAACTTTACAGGGAGACAGCAATTGATTGTTAAAATCAAAATCTGAAGAGCAAAAAAATCTAAACTTTGCAGGGAGACAGTAATTGACTGTTAAAATCAAAATCTGAAGAGCAAAAAAAATCTAAACTTTGCAGGGAGACAGTAATTGACTTTTAAAATCAAAATCTGAAAAGCAAAAAAATCTAAACTTTACAGGGAGACAGTAATTGACTTTTAAAATCAAATTCTGAAGAGCAAAAAAATCCAAACTTTACAGGGAGAGAGTAATTGACTTTTAAAATCAAAATCTGAGGAGCAAAAAAATCTAAACTTCACAGGGAGACAGAATGACTTCAAAGACGGCTTATTTTACGCAAAATTTAATCAGCTTTCTAACCGTATCAATTTCTTTATGAACTAATTTGACTATTATTAAACGACGAGTAATGATGCTCTGAAAATTTTTTTTTACTTCTTTTACATCCCTAAAACAACAATAAATATTATTATTAACTATTTTTAACACTCTACTTTTTTAAAATTTATTTGTTTATAAATTGAACTTTTCAAAAATTTAATTTTGTCAATTACACATTCTAAACAATAATATCCTGTGTATCAAAGTATAATACACGTCCCTTATACGTAGTTTGAAGTTCTTACTTCAAATCTAAACTAAGATTTAAAAAATTCAAAATGGCGGATCCAAAATGTCAGGAATTATTTAACACTTTCACGCCTATGAGAATATAAGTCCCACCTACGAATATGACATCAGTTTTTAAAATTTCAAAATGGCGGATCCAATATGGCAGATGATTTTTTAAAAATTAGTTAGTTTTACATGAAACTTATCACTTGGGGGTTTTAGGGATCGCTGATGACGATTCTGATGTTAGTTTTTAAAAATTCAAAATGGCGGATCCAATATGGTGGACGATTTTTTAAAACTTGTTTATTTTTATCTGAAATTTATCATTCGGGGGTTTCAGGGTTTACTGATGACGAATCTGATGTTCGTTTTTAAAAATTTGAAATTGCGGATCCAATATGACAGATGACAAATGTAAAAATTTATTTGATTGTCACGAAACTTGTTATTCGGAGGTTGTTGTAGTCCCTGATTACCAATCTTTAGTTTATTTTTAAATTTAGATTGTGGATTAATAATTAGCGGAGAAATTTTTAAAATTAATAAACTGGAAAATGTTTATTATAAAACTCCTGCTAATTTTACAACAAAAGTTTCTAATTAATTAGCAAATCAGTTTTTACAATTATCCAATTGAACTTATATTTCTAAAAAGCATTAACTCTTAAAAGTAAGTATCAAGCAAATCTGAATAAATTTTGAAAACTCTCATCAACCATATTGCAAACGCCATTTTGAATTTCAAAAAACTATCATTGAATTTGTAATCAGTGACTGGGGTTCACCCGAGAACGAACCAACTTTTAGGTCAATTGGATCAATTTTGTAAAAATCATCCACCATATTAGATCCGCCATTTTGAATTTTTAAAAACTAACAGATTCCTAATCAGCGACCCCAAAAACCCCCAAGTAAACATGATCTGGTAAGAGTGATATCTCGAGTTCTTATGAAGCGATTTTAAAAAATCAAACGGCATTTGATTCATCGTCATCATGTCTATAAATGGAACCTCAAAAACTGGAAATTTTCTAACTCCCTTTTTATTTATAAGAGAAATTCTGAATAAAAACATGTGTTTTTTCATGTTTTGGGGGAAAAGTACTCTAAAAAAGGAGGAGAAGAAAATTCCACTTTTTTGAGTTTCCACACCTAAAGAAATATCTAACGAAAAGAATGTCACTTCCTTTTTGGTCTTATCTGTTTTAAAAAGTTTTGAATTAATCTTACCATAAGAAATGGACATTTTTGAAAATGGCGTATATCGCCGCCATTTTGAAGTAAAAATAAAAATTGTTTTTTGAATATTCTTAAATAAATTATTTATCACATGTAAAAGAAATTTTATAAATAAATATCATAGTTATTTTAATAATGTATACTAAAAAAGCCTTATTTTTTCCTGTTTTGAACTGGAATGTCCCCTTAAGTCGCTCATATTTTATCTATCTTATTATCTCGTAAGTTTTTAGTAAACTTGCTGTATACATGAAAATGATATCATAATTCTAAGTACGCAAGTTTGTTTAGAAGCTCTTATTAAATAAATATTATTATTACTAATTAAATATTAATTAACATTAGGATTATTTAAGAATAATGTAAATAATTACACATTTTTAGTTATAAATACAATGATGAAAAAACTGAGCTCGTTTCAACAATGGAGGTGCATTTGAAATCTTGTCGTGATGTAGAATTCAGTAACGATGGCCAAACACTTTTTTCTGCTGCTAAAGATAAATCAATTATGTTAATGGATATCGAAAGTGGAAAACTTACCAGACTATATGAAGAAGCTCATGAGTAAATTTACTTTTTTTACACGAAACATGACGTATTTATTGTTATTCTATATATTGACATTATATGTTAACGATTCCATACTTTATTATTTCTAATAATGACTGATGTACATTTTATATAATTGCTTATGTTTAGGTTTCCAATTTACTCTCTTACAATTATAAATGATAACACATTTGCTACTGGAGATGACGAAGGAGTCGTAAAACGTAAGATATAAATCTTAATCTCTCAAAATTATTTTATTATATAATTTGCGTTTAGGCTAAAGAACGTAACGTTAAAAAATTAACGAATTTAAAAGTGGCATTTTGAACGTCAATTAAGCCGAGATTAAATTACTATAAAAAATTATAGGTTAACATGGGCGAATTTCCTTCTTAAGGGTATGGAAAAGTCTCGTCAAATTAAATTTACAGATAAAAGACTGTGAATCCCATAAAAGGATGAGAGTCTTCATAGATGTATACTGGGCTATAGCTAGTGGAGAACACCGGAGAACACCCTCGGATTTTCATTGTGCCGTCAATGTTGCAGCGTAGGCTTTAGCCCGTAGAATTTTGTCATGGTCGATGAGCTGACACCGTAGATAGGAGAGTGAGAGGTTTGTCAGGGACACGGTAGGGGTTGGGGGACTCTGGGGCTGAAGAATAGCTTTCCTTCTTCCTTCTCCTCCTGTCTGCTGGTAGAGGCTCGTAGCATGGAAGATAGGAAATAGGTATAGGACAAAATTAATCAGACTGGTGTGAATTTCAAGTTAGCTTTTATATCTTAATTCAAACCACAATCGATCTCTCCTTGCAATAAGTGGTCTGATAATATAGTTCTCGAAATACAAGATGGGTTTGCCACTTATATGTAAGCGCACCACACATCAATTTTCTTAAAGTAAATTATACGAATTGAATCGCTTTACCGGTAAGTGTCCGGAAACAGGCGCTACCTACGGTGAAAATACCGTAAGGTCGCTCCTTTTTCCGGATCGAGGAAAAATCAAAAGTGAGGAAAATTCCCTTATGTTAAATCATGTTTCCGACTTGATCAACCTTGGACCATTCACCTCGGTCGCCTCTACTCAACATGGAGCGGTGAGGAGGGCTTCCCTCGACGAACTAGGACTATTCACCTCGGTCGCCTCTACTCAACCAGGCGTGATGAGGAGGTCTTCCCTCGATATCATTACAGTGGAATTTTCCTAAGTCTTCCTTGTCGGCGGATCGCTAGACTGATGGGGTGGGTGCGGGGTAGGAGGGAGCGGTGCTATTGTAGTGTTGACCGTCTGGTTCAATGGGGTTTTTCGTGGTCTACCTCTTCGGTAAATCGGAGGGACACTAACCGGATCCTCTGGAGTGGCCACGATCTTTTTCCTCGGTCGTCCTCGTCGGCTGATCGGAGGGGCAGCAGGATAGATATTAACCCGTGACACCGAAGGGTTAAAGTTTAAAATGAGGTTTAACATAGGATTAATGCACTTTTTTACATTTTGTATAATAACTATTTTTTATTATTTTTTTGCCTTGGCGACACATATATTTATGGTTTTGGATGTGCTGAACACGAATCCGGATGTCAAAAATAAGTTTTGACAGATTTTAGTTATCAAAAAAGGTGTCAATTTAGTAAATTTAATTTAGTAAATTAAACAAAATTTACTTATGTAAAAGTATTTTAAGAACACTAAGATCAAACTAAATAGCAATATATAATATTGACAGTTGACAGCTATAAATTAATCTGTCAAACTTTTGGAATCAAAATACCTTGAGCTACGATGAAGAACAGAAGAAATTTATTATTCAAGTCGTTGAAGGATATAACAAAGTTTATTACTGATTGTAATGAAAGCACCCTAGTAAAAAAACTATTGTAAATTGATATACACAGAAACATTTAATAAATATACAATTTTAAGGAAAAAAAGGTCCTTACTTAAAAATTAAATTTTTATGGTTAAAAAATATAATTCTATTTAAGTTTACCTCAGTGCTCTGAAAATATTGTTATATGAATAATTTAATGTAAAAACTGTCAAAAACTCGTTTTTAAAAGCTTGACAGTTTAATTAACAGCTGTCGACTGCCAATATTACATATTGCTATTTAGTTTGACCTTAGTGTTCTTAAAATACTTTTATGAGTAAATTTTGTTTAATTTACTAAATTAAACACAATAACTGTCTGAACTACCACAAAAACGGTCGTTTTAAAAAGATTGACAGCTGTAAACTGTCAAAACTTATTTTTGACGACGAATTCGTGTTCAGCACATCCAAAACCATAAATATATATGTCGCCAAGGCAAAAGATTAACAAAAAGTAGTTATCATACAAAATGTAAAAAAGTGCACTAATCATATGTTAAACCCCATTTAAACTTTAACCCTTCGGTGGCACGGCTATTAAGCCGTGATCGATTAGGCTGTCCTTGTGCATAGCTCATTTTTTTCACATTCTAAAGCAAATTCAGCCTGGCGACCTAATAAATTCCAACTTTTGCAAAATAACGGTCACCTTAATACAGAGGAATTCCCTTCGAGTGGGCTCGTTTCAGCAAATTATTCCTGCATATAAACGATGGACTAGTTGTAACGGATCGGTTATATTATATTATTATACTCGCATGGTCAAGCAGATAAAGAGCCGATCAGAGTCTTCCTACAAAAGGAAATCCTCATCTTTCGGCGGTTGTAACCGATCACCCTGGAAGAAGTTAAAGTGGCTACGCATCTCGAGCTTCTACGTTCTCAAGTTCGACAAGGAATCAGCTTCTCATCCTCAAAATTACGGAACACTAATGACTCGCGAAGTCGAAGCGGAGTCATTTAAAAAAATTAAAAATGAAAAGTGAGGAAAATTCCCGCATGTCAAGGTATTAAATAATATTAAAATAAAAATAATTTATTCTTTTATTATGCCTTATTACTAATAAATAATATTAATGTAATAATTATTATTAATGCATTATTTTAACATTTTTGATATTTAATTTCTAAGGTACGTACCATTACATTCCAAAAATCATTTGCAGATTTCAAACATTTCTGTCTATTATCTGTCTATTAAAATATTAAAGTTTACCTTAAGTTTACCACAAGTATACAATCCTATCCTTACAAACTATACGTGTAATCCACACCACAAACTTACAGCAATATATGTAGGACGATATCTATGTAGGACGATTCTGTCGCTAAATTCCTACTCAACAATAAGTTTACAAGGAGCCGCTGGAGATTTTTCCTGGATTATCCTTTTCGATATTATTCTTATTCTTTTGAGTAATATTTTTTTCAATTTACCAATAACTTAACAATATTGTAAATTTTTCTTTCTTTCTTGTCATTTTTTTGAAGTTAATACTTTTCTCTGTTAAACTTTATCATTTAAAATATTATTTTCTTTTTTCATAAATTAAATTTTGAAATTTATACTACGTTTTACAATGTATCATTACTATTATTCATGTGTATTATAAAAATGTTTTAATTGATTAGCGTTATTGGAGCATTTTGGCCAAAATTCAGCAACGTAAATGATGCTTTTGTTTGGTGTGTTACTTCGAAATGTTTAATCCCCGTATTTGGAAGGAAATATTATCGATCGTTATGTCAATTTCAATATAGTCAAAGTTATATATTTATGCTGCTTAGTTGAAGTTTTTTCGCGGAATTCTTTCTTTCTTACAGAACAGTATTTCGCGAATTCCGTATTGGCAGGTTGGCACTCGCAATACGGAATCCCGTACCTCCCAATACTTTTTTTTACAGGGCTGTATACGTAGGAAAAGCATAATACGAGTCATACTCTATAAGATCAAGGGAGACGAACTTATGCTAATCCCATACTTGCCTATGACTGACATGAAACTTTTCTTACTGCATCTTTAAATTTTCTTCAGTTTTATTAACCTTTCGGTAACTACTTAATCAATATATTATTATAGTAGAAGTCTCATTAAGTAACTAGTAGTATTAAGTTTTATTGGCTCTTATACTGGCTTTACATCACGTATATCCGGTAGAAATCTCATATTGATAAGAACAACACACAATTGGTTCGCAAAGCAGTTGTGCTTAGGCCTATTGGGAACTACGGCGCACGCGTGACATTGATAGAACACTACTGTGCATGCGAGATTTTTATAGGGCACTACTACGCATGCGTGATTTTGATAGGGAACTACTACGCATGTGTGCGTAATAGTCTTAATAAAAAGTAAATAGTAATTGAAATTATTTTAATATCTTAATTTGTTTATTTTTTAAATACTAATGAATTTCAACCAGGTTTTTTAAAATTATAAATTTAATATTTTGATAGACAGATAATAGACAAAAATGTTTGAAATCTGCAAATGATTTTTGGAATGTAATGGTACGTACCTTAGAAATTAAATATCAAAAATGTTAAAATAATGCATTAATAATAATTATTACATTAATATTATTTATTAGTAATAAGGCATAATAAAAGAATAAATTATTTTTATTTTAATATTATTTAATACCTTGACATGCGGGAATTTTCCTCACTTTTCATTTTTAATTTTTTTAAATGACTCCGCTTCGACTTCGCGAGTCATTAGTGTTCCGTAATTTTGAGGATGAGAAGCTGATTCCTTGTCGAACTTGAGAACGTAGAAGCTCGAGATGCGTAGCCACTTTAACTTCTTCCGGGGTGATCGGTTACAACCGCCGAAAGATGAGGATTTCCTTTTGTAGGAAGACTCTGATCGGCTCTTTATCTGCTTGACCATGCGAGTATAATAATATAATATAACCGATCCGTTACAACTAGTCCATCGTTTATATGCAGGAATAATTTGCTGAAACGAGCCCACTCGAAGGGAATTCCTCTGTATTAAGGTGACCGTTATTTTGCGAAAGTTGGAATTTATAAGCTGAATTTACTTTAGAATGTGAAAAAATGAGCTATGCACAAGGTCCGTAAACAAATGGCTGCCTTTATACCCTTGTTGCTTAATATACTGCCGTCCAAAAGAAAAAGATACATAAGCGACTTTGTGTATCATTTTGTCCTGTAAGTTGGTGACGTATGCAGCGTCGTTTACCGAAATATGAACCCACAAAGTGTTTTATGTATATTTTAACTCTGTATTTCGTCACTTTTTCCATTTTTGTCATTTTTAAACAATCTTTTTTTGCAATAAATAATTAAATTTTTTAATTCTTTTTTACACAGTTAAATGC